ATTATAAGTTATTATATTTTGTATATATATATAATCAATTTTTCTATTGTAGTTTTTATCATAGTTAATATATTTAGTACGGTGGCCTATACTAGGGAATCATTCTATTCTGTAATGTATTTGGAAATTTGATTACATTAAATTAAATTAAATTAGAACAAGTTTAAGCAAAGACTACTATTTCAGCTACAAAAGTCAGCAATATGGGTGTTTCCTGGAAGAGCCATGTCATTTAGTTCAAGCAGTATAAAATTCCTTTACTTTGTGAAACCCACGACACGTCTGCCATACAACGCCTTTATACAATGATATTGATCAATTTTTTTGTCTTTGGATACTTCAGTTTCGAGTTTTCTGCTGCATCATATATTCATCAAGATATATCCAATTTTAAGTAGAAAATAGTAGAAAAACCTAAACTAAAAAAACTAACTTATGGTTGAAATATCTATCATCGCTACACACCGAAAAATTCAACATTAGACGATTCAACATTCTGATAACTGAGCCTGATAAAACACCAGAATGGCTCACAAGTGGCAGGACACACCTTCTACCAAAAAGCGAAGCTACAAAATATACCAGTAACTATAGACCAATAACATGCCTGACAAACAACCTACAAGTTATTGACATCTTGATAACAGACAGAACGTAAAAATTTCTTAGAACACACAAATTGCTCCCTGTTGAACAGAAAGGATGTTGCCGAGGCTCGTAAGGATGCAAAGACCAACTTCTTGTTAACATCAGTATGGCTTTGATTGACTGCAAGAAAGCCTTTGATAGCGTCCCTCACAGCTGGTTAATGAAAGTCCTTCGTATATTCAAAATATCACCAACGATCGGAAATTTCTTGCAAATAACCATGAAGAACTGGAAAGCTATAAGACTCTTACTCCAGCATGAGAACGGCGAGGTTCACACTTATGCAATAAGGATAAACGATGACATCTTCCAAGGAGACTAGTGTTCACCTCTTTTTTTTTTTTTTTGCCTTGCACTTGCACCACTCAGCCAGGGTGTGCATACAGGATTTTTGAAGAAAGGGTTTCACATCTATTTTACATAGATGACTTGAAACTATATGCCAGCAACGATGACCAGCTTGTATCCCTGCTTCATACGTCGCCGATGTTTAGCAAAGACATCAAAATGGATTTTGGATTAGACAAGTGTGCAAAGGCAACGTTTAAAAAAGGTAAACTAGTCAAGTCCACCAACACCCAACTTGATACCAACACAGCCATCAAAGATCTTGAACAAGAAAGATTTTACCAGTACCTTGGGGTCACACGAGAAAGAGATGGAATAGAGCACTCCACCATGAAAGAGCAAATCCGTAAGGAATATTACAGAAGAGTCCGCCTGCTCTCAAAAAGCGAGCTGAATGCAGCCAATAATATAACCTCAATCAACACTCTGGCTGTCCCTGTTGTCAGCTACAGCTTTAACATCATCCACTGGACTTTGGCGGAGATATAGAAATCAGACAAAAAGACGAGAAAATTCCTAACGATGAATAAGATGCACCATTCTAAAGCAGACGTCGATTGTATCTATCTACCCAGAAAAGGTGGAAGAAAATTAATCCAGATAGAAAACAGCTATAAATTGTCGACTGTAGAGATAAACGTATATATCAACGAGAAGGACAACAAGCATGCTAAATTGGTGCTTCAGCACGAAATGGCAAAGAAGAAGTATTCAATAGTGAGAGAGCCAACAAGTTTCAGCAAGGAATGGAAGTCCGTACCCAATGTGAAAACGCCTCTAGTACAACAGAAAAGGCAAAGAAACGCGAAAGGAACAAGTAAAGAAACATTGTTTACAGTCTATAAGAGAATCATGGGAAGGAAAGCCAATGCATGGACAATACTATAAAAGGCTAAGTAAAGCAGACACTGATAGAAGCAAGACAGTGGCTTAAAAGTAGCGGACTCAAAGCCGAAACAGAGGGGTTCATAATCGCTGCTCGAGATCAAAGTCTACCTACAAGACTATATCAAAACCAAGTAATCAAGGATGACACAGATCCGAAATGCAGACTCTGTAATACCTCAGCTGAATCAGTGGACCACTTAACATCTGGGTGTCCTGTCTTGCCAAAAAAGAGAACATCGAAAGACACGGTAAGGCAGCAAGTTACATCCATTAGCGGATGTACAAGAACTACAACTTTGAAGTATTCGAAAGATTGTACGAGCACAAGGTCCAAACTGTTCTGAATAATGAATATGCTACCATTTTGTGGGACATGCCTATACATACGGACAAGGAAATCGGCGCGAAGAGACCAGATATTTTTGTAAAAGACAAGTAAAGTAAACGCTGTTTCCTGATCGATATGTCAGTGCCAAACGACATTAATGTTAGAATAAAGGAACTAGAACAAAGATCCAAGTACAAGAACTTAGAGATGGAAATCTCTAAAATGTGGGGACCTTGGGTGATTAACATCCCAGTAGTAATAGGCGCCCTAGGACTAATAAAAAATGAATGAAGCTAGGGAAATATTAGCATGGTGCAAAAAATCGTTTTGCTAAGCATTGCCTATATTTTAAGCAAAGCTTTGTCATTGTAGTTTTTTGTTTTAATTTATTTAATTTATTTTTATTGTCATTTTATCTTATTTATTTATTTGTTTAGTCCTTTTTAGGAAAGTTAGAATACCTGGTCAGATTATATGAACTTAATTGAAAAGTCAAGAATATAATAATAATAATGAT